ACAGTATTTTAGTCAATTACTTAATTAATGGTCAGAATAATCGATAGAACACTCGATATCTAAAATAATCGTTTATAACAGCCCTAGTGCTTAATATACAAAATACGAGTGCAAGCATTGCTGGGGAAATATGCCTAATGATATGTACACATATATCTATAGAAACTGATATTTACTTTTTTCAGATGAATTTCAAACACTATCATCTTCCCATATTCCTGTTTGGCAATATGCACACCGTCTGACATTTGTTCTGGTTCCGCTTGATTTTAACTTTGCAGCCCTCTGGAAATTTGATAAGAAATGCGAGAGTTTTGCCAAGTTCATCACTCAGTACATCTGTTCCAACTGTGGCTGGTGGCACGTTGCATGCTAGGGGTACAAATACTCTACATTTCACTACAGTTGTTTTGTCTGGGAGAGAATTTTAGTTTTTATACTCATAAATTAAATATTATCCATATTTGCACATTTTACAGACCATATCAAACAGCAGGTGATGTTTGTTCACATCTATTTTTATTTGTAGTAAATGTAAGTGTAATGGACAAATGTTTCCTAAAATTAACTTTTGTACTTGAAGAATGAAATCACTATGGAAGCCACTATTTTAGAAACATTGATGTTGTATTTAGATTTTCTCAGGTTTTTTTTTTTTTGTTAATAAAAGTGTTAAATCTATTGTACCAATCTGTTAATAAACTGTAAAGTCTCACATAAGACCACCGATACAGGGAGCCACCTGTTGTTGCCCTGGAGTTGCATGCAGCTGAATGGAGCTGCTCTACCCACTGGCTGCTGTTGAAATGTGTTCAATATGGGTACTGTGGCCCATCCTCATGCAGTCAATGGACTCAGGATATTCATCAAATTGCTGTAGATCAAGCAGAGATTAGCCGATCAATGTGGGACGAGCGCTTCTTCCAGAGCCCCGTAATGCTCTCTGAAACGTCATCAGCACAATTTTCTCTCTCCCTTGTTCTTTCTCTTACTCTGTCTACTTCTGTTGTTGATTTTACCATGAGACAGATGCACTATCATACTTGATAGTGCTGTAGTGTTACACATAAAACATTGTCATAATCTATTTATGCCACCAATGCCCAAACCAGAGTGGCTCCTGTAGCGAGTTCAGTACATGTTGGATGAAAGGCACATTACAAAAAGGAGCCAAGGCTCCTGTACAAAGGATTACCAAGACAAATATCACCTACTTACCTTAATAATATAAGCACATCTTATATTTTACGTTGATTAAAATCATTATTTTGCATTGCACAATTTGAGGTGACATTTTTAAGTCCTTTTCTTTTTTGGTTCTCGTTTTTTTTGTTTTGTTTTGTTTTGTTTTTTTGGCAGCACCTTGACTTTTTGTTACCATTCATCTGCTTAGGCATCTTCAGTAGGCCTGTGACAGATCTGCAGGCAGATGGTCTTGTGGTAGCTGGCAGTGAGACCCTGTGTAAGTGCTTCACATGATACACATCTGAGCTGTCTGCACAGTGACCGTTGACTCGAGCAAGCAGGCCTGGCCTGTCTTCTGTGCTCAGTTTTCAACTTACAAGTGTAATCTTTGGAATATGTGCACTGTAAATATTCAAAGTAAAAGGGTGTGAAACTATTTAAAGAATCAACTTTAAAACTTTATGTGTGGAGGAAGCAATGATAAATTGAAATGGTACTCAATGTAAAGATTATTGATATGGAAAATAATTTAATAATTTAACAAAATATTTTCACTCCTCTCTTCCTTCTTTTAATATTTTCTCCTTTATCTTCCATTTTCCTCCCCTTTTTAATAAAATGTGTCGATCCCTTTCTTATTTTTACTCATTTATTCAAGTTTTTTTTTCCTTCCTTGTCAAACTTACATCCTTTCTAAAATATTATCCTGGCTTAGAGTTGCAGAAGCACATAGATTTTCCCTAAAGCTGTAAACAGCTGGCACTGCAACAGAGGAGCAGTAGAGATGTGCCATAACTCCATGTCTAGCCCTAATCTAACCAAAATCTAAATCATCAATTAAGTGTTTAATGAACGTTATGGGACCTGCAATTAAAAAAAGTCTAATGGTACCACACATATACACACAAATATAGGAATGTCCACAAAACCACAGAGATAAACATGTTGGTGGTCAAATTCTCCATTGAGGATTGCTGGTGCAAATGGATAAAATGCCTCCTCATTGCCTCACAGACCACACAGCTGCGGATCCAATTCCCAAGTCAAATCGTTGGCTGGGAAGACAAAGGATGGTCATGTTCTTGTGGCTGCCATAGCACAATGTGTCACTCAGCCTCCTCGCCAAAGCATGTGAATGAACAGAATATACTGTACACTGGAGGAATAACAGTGAGAGTGAAGTCATTTCTTCAGATCAAACTGCCATTCAGTTCAGCTAAGTCAGTATTTAACAAATTCTTGGATGCATAATTGCTCCCTGACAATAATTCAATCTATTCAGTTTGGTAGACAACAGACTTTACTGAAAATGAACAGAGTTTGTACAGTGCACCTCTGTTGCACGGTGTTCTTATTTATGCAGCAGATGCTTTCTTTCATGAGGAAAGATTTGTTGAAGTGATGGGGTAACTTCAGCAAATCTCTTCAGGCCATTCTGAAGAAACAATAAGAAAACAAATAATAATAATAATAATAAAATCAGCATATTATGGATTTATAGTGTATTCTGCTGAAAAACAGTATCCACCAGCAAAGCTGTCTGTGTTCTTAGTGAATATATATGAATACAAAATCCTTTTTTCAGTTCTTGTTGCTATAATCCCAAAGTGGTCACTCCAAACAGTCTGTCCCAGAGCCTGGAATTTGTACAGCAGCTCTGCAGGTTATCCACCGGAGACAACAGGGCATTGTTTTGTGGATCAGATGTAAAAGGCATCTGTAGCTCTGGACAGGATTTGCAGGGGTAGTAGCAACACTTTTGAGCACTATATCCAACAGAAATCCCCCCTGATTCGTTTTGCTGTCTTCCTCCGTTCAAATGAGGGAAACCCTTTGTGCACAAGGCAGGTATATATATATATATTTTTTTTCCTTTTAACACGCCAGCCTGGCAGAAGCAGAACTCTGCTGTCCAATATGTGACTAACGATGTGACTTTGACTGCTGATTCTTTTCATTTTCAATTCTTTTCGTTGCTTCCTTCCGTCGTCCTGCCCTGTGCTTCAGGTTTAGTGTGAATTCTTGGTTGGGTTGTCTGCCTCACCTTATTAAAACAAAGCAGGCAAGGCTGCATGTTTGCTCAAAAGACAGCAAGGTTAGCTAACTGTAAGTAACTTGCTTCTGATGCATGACTACATAAAATCCAAATAATGAGTCCATTAGAGTAAATTATAAATGTTCAGAGTCTATTACAATTAGTTCGCCTAAGTTTTATTAGTCTCTGACAAAAAAAAAAAAAATCATTTTCCTTCTTCATTCCATCCTGCTTTTTTTTCCCACCTTCAATCTTTTTTCAGCCTGTCTGCCACTTCTGACTGCAAGTCTGACACTTTAGCCGTCTTTTGGTTTAAAACCTCTTGCTGTCTTCCTTATATGCTCCTCCCACCCCTTCCCTGCCTCTTTCTCTCTGTCCTAGTTCTCAGGGTCTCCAGGATGAAGCTTTGTCTAATTACCATGCTGGCGTTTAATTGGAACAGCACACACAAACATGCAGATTGACTTGCTGAATACCCCTTACGTGCAGACACACTCTGCTCTCTATCCCATACAGATAGACACACACATCAGAGCCATTACATGCATGCATTACACACCAAGCAAGTTAACATGCTCCAGTTATACAAATACACACAGCGTACGCTGAGGTTAGAGCCTGTGGAGTTTGTCCAGGTTGTATTGCAGCCACTGTGTATCTGGGCCTTCTGTGGAGCTAAGACGCGTTGGCTACAGTCACAGTTGATTTTGGCCTAGTTAGACCATGAGCTGCCTGTAGCAGCTCCCACTGTAGAGCTAGCTGTGTCATCTAAGAATGGGCAACAACAGATGCACATCGGAGGCAAAACGCCAGCCAGACATCTAAATATCATGCAGTGACTTTGGCATATTTTTAGGATCCTAGAAAACCATGCTCACTTATCGTTGGTATTTTACAATGCTGACTCTTGGTTTTGGTTTTTGATCCCATCTCAGAGGTTTTAACTTTGGGAAAAGGAGGTTTTGGCTGTTGATTACAAATTTGAGGTTCAAAACACATCTGTATCTAAAAGACAAAAGTTTTGATTCTTTTACATTCTGTTTTTTTTTTTTTTTTTTCCCATAAAATGTGAATAGCTTAATGGTGATGAAAGATGAAGGCAATTGACTGTCTAGCACCTTGCATTGGGAACATGTTTGAGTACATCAGCTTATTTTTCTTAAGATAATAACATACATAAGACTTAGCTGTGTGAGGAAGTATTTTTTATTAAAGAAATAGCGTATTTTCTGGACTATAGAGCCCACCATACTATAAGCAGCTAATATCTCAGCTGCTCTCGGTTTTCCTTAAGGACCCAGCAGAGGGCAGCAGAGGGCTGCGTCCTAATAAACCTGCTGGATTTTATTAGGACGCAGCCCTCCGTCTCCACAGCCGAACCATAGTTTCGTTCACGCCCAGTTTACCTGCAGCGGCTCTGTTTCCCTCCTGTACTGCCAGATCTTTAGCCCTCAACTTAAAAGCTGCATCATATGAATTTGAAGAAATGTCTCCGTCGTGCCTGCTGCTAGCATGTGCTTGTTCTATCTAAATGAAAATTAGCACTTTCTTCTTTGATTTCCAATTTTGACTTCCAATTATTCACTTCCTGCTAAAGAGCCCCCCCTGCTGGCTGAAGAAAAATCCACAGCAAAGCCGCAGCAGCCTGTAAGCCGCAGGGTTCAAAGTGTAGGGAAAAAGTCGCAGCTTATAGTCTGAAAAACACGGTACTATTTTTTTTTAAAACATTAAGGTATTCAGAAAAACTTTCTTTTTTTCCCCCTTCCCCTCTGCATTTTAGTCCTGCCCAGCCACACGTGTGGCACTCCTGGCCTTATTCCGAATGGAATTATCCATGGATCGAGATACAACATGGGAGACAAGATCCGATACAGCTGCGAGTCGGGTTTTGTGCTGGAAGGTCACAGTACCCTCACATGCATCGTGTCACCTGGCAGTGGAGCACAGTGGGACTTCCCATCGCCGTTTTGTCGAGGTATGTTTATTCTACCCTTCCAGTTAAAATACCACCAGAGTGCTGCTGATTTCGAACTGAGAGAAAAGTGATTGCTGTTAATCTGGTAAACGTTTTTCAGTGAGACCGAATCAATTCTGCTCTAGCTGCATCTTTAGTTTTAAAAGTAAAATAAAACTTTGGGGGAAGCATAGTAATAAGATATATAGTGAAGGTCATGAGAACTGAAGGACCTTAATATGAGGTCATGAGCTGAAATATGAGAAGCCCCAGTGTATTGATGTTCTTTAAAACTCATAAAGGTCTGACGCCAATTACTCTACAAACCGCAGTATGAACTGGATGGAGCCCAAAATCCCCAAGCAAAGACCCCTATTAATAACCTGGCACTCCACTGGCAAGAACACATATGTGAATCAGACGGAGGCAGTGTTATTGCTAAGTAATTTGATTCAAGATCGGTCAGTTCTTCAGTAGAAATGTGAGCTTAATCCACTGAATAACCAATAAAATGAGCAAAATAATATATTTTTTAAGATACACAAGCATGTTACTGTATTCTCTAAAAGCTTTAAGCCACCCACCACTCTGTCGTTCTACTTTGTTACCAAGGAGCAAGACAGTCAAGTATTTTAAAGTAGCTTAGATTAATAGTACTTCAGGCTTTCTGAAATGTTTCACTTAAATTTTTACGTTTTTTTGTTTTGTTTTTTTTACTTATTCACTGTCCAGCTATTGCTAGTAAATTGTGCAGGGTGCTCAGAAAGGGGCAACTGAGCCTTTGGAGGACAAAAGAAGGAAAAGATCTATAGCAGATGAGTAATATCTGTAAAATACATCTATAGGAAAATAAAATCAAATCCAACAGATGCCTGTCACCCTTTAGCTGATCAACTACTGAATGCCCTATTGTTTTTTTCCTTTTGGTAATGACCTAGTTTGTGCAAACAGAGCTGTACAACATATTACAAATGTATTGTTACTGTGCTTAATATGCATATCACAAAGACCTACATGGACTGATAAAACATGTTTATTGTAAATAATTATATAATTATATATGCCTGGAGTATATTTTTATGACTTGCTTAATTTTCAGCCAGTCATTTTCTGATGGAATGCAAATAAAACATTTTACTGCGCACTCTATTTCTTCAGAGACGCCCGTTTCATTTTTCATCAGAAAGCAAAATTTAGGTTGAACGAAAATAGTTTTACATCTTAATCTGCCAGGTATATGAATAATTTTGGCCTTTATTATTCATAATACACATATCAATTATTGTAATCTTGTTAAAAAATAAAAGAAGCAAACAATTTTTAACTTGACAGACATTTGCACAAACTGCATTTCTTTTGAAACATCTGTGTTATCTTTATTATCTTTGGAGACTGGAGAGAATGTGAAGAAATTGTGTCTTATTGACTCTTTGTTCTCCTCAAAACAAAGAGGCTACACACAATTTCTAAAATAAAACAATATAAAATTTGAGATCAAGAGCTTATTAATTCACATACTGGTGATTTTACTTAACAATTTTTTTTTCTAAAAATACAGCAAAAGTCCAAAGAAAAACTCATTAATCTCCAGAAAGCCTGAATAAATCCATATTAAGGTCACTTCAGCAGCTTACAGGAATTACCAGGTCCTTAAAAATAAAATAGAAAGAAGTGAGGGATAAATAATGCTTTTTGGTACAGCACAATAAATGGGTAAAAATACTTCGAATGTGCAAACTACTTACAAAGATTCAGCAATTGTTTTAAAATATTTTGATATGAATAAGCCATGTTAAACCGACGATACAAATTCAACAACACACCCGCTCCCCTTAAAAACGAACATTTTACTTTACAGTATAAGATGCAAGTTCTTTTTTTTTTATCAAGTTCCCTCTTCTGTTGTCATTTTTCTATTTCTGTCTTTCATCTTTCACCAGCGGAGGGAGCATGCGGCGGCACGTTACGAGGCACCGCGGGTTCAATCACCAGCCCCGGATATCCAGCAGAGTACGACAACAACCTGGACTGCACATGGTCAATCCTCGCTGAACCCGGGGACACGATCGCTCTTGTTTTCAATGACTTCCTATTAGAAGACAAATATGACTTTCTGGAAATCAGCGGGACAGAAGCACCAAGCATATGGTAAGACTCTTGAAGTAGACAAATTTCAGTGCTAAGGGAAAAGAGGGAAAAGAAAGAGTTGTTAAGGATACGGGAGCCTTAGTGGGAATCAACAGGACTTGCCCAGCACATGCTGAGAGCTTTGTACACATGGAGAGAAAATTGATGCATACACGTACCACTGACATTTAGAAGGTTAATTACTGTATATATTAATACATGTTTTGCTATTAATCAAAAAATGACAGTGAATATTACTAACAGAAAGAATGGGGTTGGTGCAGCTTTAAAAAAAAATCTTCTTTTCAACAATTTACCAGTGAAAAGAATAGTTGCCTTTTCGGTTCAATTTTCTTAATCGCATACACTCCGAAGAGCGTTTGTTATTAAAATACAAGTAATAGTGTTGTTGGGTTAGACGGCTATAACTGCTCATTGATTAGCTACACAGGAGTTGTGTTGATTTTCCTAATTTATTCTAGTTCTATAGAGCAGGTGATGAATTGTCATGTTTTTCGTCCGCCATTTTCTGTGACCGAGTTGGAAAATTGGCACTTCAGAGCACATTCTGCTTTTTGAATTTAGAGCACTGCTGGAATCCACATCGGTTTGCTCAGAATATCACACATATGCATCGAAGGCTCAGAACAGGCTGTGGAAGCGAGGAGACATGCTCATGTTTAAGCATGGAGGGGTTTTCACTATTTCAACTCACTGAGAAAATCCTGTGAACGAAGAGCAGAAAAGGATGTTTGGCCTCGATAATAACAGATCCCCTGGACCAAATCTGCTTTAAGACTGACGGTAGATAAAATATTTTCCATTCAGTTTTGGGGTTAGCTTTTGCTCAATTTTTAAAGTGATAAAATGTCTTTTGGTTAATTATCTAATGCCAAAAAAAAAAAAAGAATCCACATTCTGTTGGATAACATTAGACTAGAAGACTTAATTATCTTACTTTAAAGATAATTCATCCATCATGCATTGTGTTCAGTTGAAGTTATATAATAATAAAGCTTTAGTTATCTAAAATATCAATAACATACTGCAAAGCAACAGAAAGTGTAAATTGTTTTCAATCCAGTAATTCAGATCAAATGCTGCCCTGTATGTTTTTTTTTTTCAGAGCTTATTATTTCAAGTCAATGCAACACATCTGCAGCAACAAATTTTCTACATTTTCTGTCTAAAAGCTCCTTATGAATGCAACTCTAAAATGGATTTTAAAGATTACAATTTTCTACTCCTGTGACTTTGACCAGTGCCTTCCATATATAAAAATAGTCTGTGATTGTGCCTTCTTAAAGAAACGAATTTGTCAAGAGACAAATTGGTCTCTTGGTCGAAAAGAATAGTAGTAAATGGAAACAAAGGGAAAAGAGAATAATTGTGCATTAAGCGCTGTCACTAACAGAGCAGCGCACATCACCCACCGTATTCTCTCGATACTATAGTGTTTATGTGTGTGCATGTTTGATGTGTGTCACGCCTTAAGTGGCCCTCTGACAGGGTGAGCTGTTGATCGTTTCACCAGACTTTGACAGATTACACACACTCAACTACTCAAACACAAAGCCTGGTCCTGACAGTGTAATATTAAAGAACCCCTGTCAGCCACACACTGCAACACAGGGAGAAGATTCAACCTTTGGTAGTGAGATTACTCTCAACGTAGAGCTACCTCTGTGGTCATTTTAAATAAAAAAAAACCAACATAATATCAATCTGTTGCTCCTAAGTGGCAATGCAGCACAATGGTGTGTAAAGTTTTGTATCAAAAACAGAATTATTTGAATTATAAGCAGATGAAATATAAAACTCAAACTATTAGTGATGTCTTCCAGAGCCTGTTAGCACGTATTGATACAATGTGTGGTTCACTTTTCTACACAGGAGGAATTAGAAGTTGATAGACATTTCACTGAGAGATGTGGTCAGGCCATTTTAAAAATGACTGACACCTGACATGACCACTCTGACAGGACTTTCCTGTTTATTTGGGGCTTCTTCTGATTGGTTGTCCCAAAAGCAATTTCCTGTTTCATGTTCCTGTCTGGAATCTGGCAGGGTTGGCGTGATGCCGTAGCTGTCACATACACATACCCACAAATATGTGAACGGACAAACACTCATGCATAACATAAAACCAAAGATGACCTGGCAGACTGGGTTCGGGGCTCTTACGTTATATCGCTCAAGGCTTTAAGTTGTGCCTTAAAGCCCACATTTAGCTCTTGAAGTTTTGTCCTTGTATTCTGATATTTGTTAGACACAAACGGGTAAACAAGAGATTTGAATGCGTTCAATAACTTCTGTCCTATTCTAATTATGTGTCTAGTTATGTGGCTCATTTCTTCATCGCAGTTCATGTTTATTCCCATTCAGCTAAACATAGATATATTTGTGTCAAAATCTGTTTTAGAGTTCTTCTACCTTGACTTCCATGTTTAGCACAAATTTAGCTCAAGCTTGGCCCTGATGTCTCTTGACATTTTCTTTCTGACCTAAAATGCCTCAGGATTTACTGCAATTCGAATACTTTAATTCATTTAGAGTTTGGAGTTGGGACTTCACAGATTTTTAACAAATGTTCTAAAGGACTCAACTCATTTTTGAAACCATCATCCAAGGTTTCTTGAGGGCATCCTTGGACGATGGTTCCAGTACCTGGCAGTCAACATTGTTTCACTAAAAGGGCCATATGCAATGAGCAGATATACTTAAAATGTTTGTTAGAAACATAATAAAATACAGAGGCCTGACAGGACCTAGGATTTCCCAATAGATCATTACCTTAAGCATGGTCATGCTTCACCAGCATGTGTTTCACGAGGTCAATGACCAAGTCATCCACATGATGGAAAGCTGACCCTGGCTCACCAAATCTGGCTTTTTCTTGTCCGTCTCTTCTGACACTTTTGATCGGGTCCGGCAGTCATACTTTGCCAATTTGGGCAGCAGTACCTCTTATAGGATAAGACAACAGAGGCCAGCTTTCGCTTCCCACGTACATCAATGTGCTTTTCCATGACAAGGTCAAGATCCAGCGATCCTGACCCTGCCATGGACGGCCAGTGACAAGTGAATCTGTCATCGCTTGTTTTCTTTCATTCAACCGCTCTTTGTTGGTCATAACTACTGCATACAAACAACATTCCTCAAGAGTGCCATTTGTTGAGATGCTAAAATTCAACTGCCTACCCGTCACAAATTGGCTCTTGAATTAAACATGAAGTGGCAAAAACAAAGCCAAATTTAAAGTACAATTTGTTTTTCCAAAAAGCAAAAACTGAAATACAAAAACAAAAAAGACTGTAGCATACAGCATGCCAGTAGTTACATAATAATGCTTTTTTTTTTTTTTTTTTTTTTTTTTTTACTTTTAAAATAGCACGGTTATATTTTCATTATTGCATGGAATGTTTAATTGCATAGTGTAAGCTGTTTTCTGGTTGCTTCCTTGTCAACTTATCCAAATTGTATCATTAGAAGCACTGGACAGTAATCATGCAAGCTGATAAAAATTAAACTATGTCTGATGTTTTGAGCCTCAGGAACCCAGATCCTTTGTCTCTGTACAACAACTTCTACCTATCACCTTAGTTTCCATTCTTTTTTGTTAACCTTTCCAATATTTTGCCATACCCTAAGCTCCTGCAGCACTCCCCCTGGCTATACCTCGTCTTTGCTCTTCTCTTTCTTGTCTTCTCGTGCTCTTCCCTTTCATGATTTCAAGGCAGAGTATTACTGTTACTGTCAATTTCTTGTACTGAAAGAATCCTTTGTTTGCTCAAATACTCACTTGAATGACTGGCTTCGTTCTGTATTTTATCCCTCGTTTCTGTTCCATAATGATACCTGCATTAATTGGATTTTTTTTTTTAAACATGTTTCTTAGTTCTGACATTTCGTTAAATTGCTGCAAGGGATTATGATTTATATAGGCCAGACTTTCATAGAGACATATATTGTCTTTGATTTAAGGAAAGGTAAGATTAGATAAGGTAATTTTATTTATATAGCACATTTTCAGGAACAAGGCAATTCAAAGTGCTTTACATGAATTAAAAACAGACAGGAAGAATCATAGAGTTCCCCCTTTCTGTTCACTAACTTATTCAGATTTTTGTTAAATCTGATCAAATATTCATAAATGGATAGGTTTCACAGAGCATACTCAGTGTTAATGGGATTTTTTTCCCCCCTCGTTTTGTTTCTCATAAGTTTTGTTGTAATATAATCTTATCTAGTTGTAAATTCCATTAATGAATTGCTTTAGAGGACCTTGCTACTTCACAATGTCAGGGTGTTGAAAGATTTTCAAGCACATGGGTTTTTAATATTCCCTCATCATTTGCCTTTGAATTCTGAATGCGGTTTTTGAAAACACGCCATGAACCACCTGCACTTCAGTTTCTCTCTTTTGACCATCTTGAAGCAAAGCTGCAAACTGAACATGCTTTTTATTTTATCCACAGTAGAAGAAGCAGGAGTTTCTCCTCGAAGCCCTGATGTTTCTTCTTCTTTTTTTAAATCTGCTCATGCAGGTTGTTTCGTCTTAATTACAGTCCAACCTTTTCTTTATTTACCTTAACATCATTCTTTGCCAGTGAGGAAGATCTCTTCTCTTCACTTTGGTAAGTGGTTTGTTCTGGTTTTGACTCTGACTAATTCAGCTGGTGACACAGTAGTTGCTTTACTTCAGTAATTGTTGAGTTTTATATAAATAGATCTTTGCTTATCAAGTTTTATATTTGTTTTTCATCCCTATTTTCTCAAAGTTCACACTGTATATATTTATGCAAAAAATGTAACGGGAGGCTTTCCACACTTAACCATGGCTAAAAATTATATACATATAAAAGAGGCCGACTTATTTACACTTTATAAAACTAGAGAGCCATTTCCATCAAACAGTTATAGTTTTAAACTATAACTGTGGTTCTGTAACCTGTTATTGTGAAATAATGTTTGTGATCATAGTAAAAACAAATTTCCGTCTTTCTTTGTGTTCATCAGTG